GAGGATACATAAAGGACGAACATGAAAAGAAGCAAAAGACAAGTCATGAATCGATAGATACCTCATAGTCGGCAACAATGGCATTCAAAGATTTAACATGCCAATCAAAATCCTCATCAAACAGCCATAACTTATGCAAGACATAAATATAGACATTCCAGTCAGCGCTATCAGAGTTCACGTGAGCAAGAGGGAAGACTTCTAAATTCTCCATCACCAAACAACAACATCAACCAAAAAGCAATGAAGGTGTGAACAGCAAGCCAAGACACAGGAATTTATAACCACCAAATTAATTTGAAACCTCACCCATCATTCATTGAACCTACAGAATAAGGAACAACACGACTCTAGAGGCGACCATTACGAACTCCAACATTGATCAACCGTGCACCTTTCAGTCCAGCAAGTTGGAGAGGGAAAGTCACAACACTTAAACAGGAGTCCTTCGAAATCAACCACTTTAAAAAGGCGAGATTGGATCTACATAATAATTATTTTAATTCTTTTAACATTTTCCCCTTAATATTTTAATATCAAGGCCCTTAACATTTAAATATTACGGGCCAAATACATGAGAAGAACCTCCATCAATGATTACGATGATGTCTCTTTATGTGTAATACTTTGCTCAATAATTATTTTCCCCTATTTCATAGCCCTTAGGATTTATTGATTTATATGAATAGCATCACAATCCAAGGGATGTCATATCGGCATCGTGCATTAGATCCTACATTTATTTACCGTTTAACATCTCCCATAAACTCATGCTTCCTCTCCCAAAAAATTAATAATCCTAAGAATTAATTACCTCAAACAAAACATAAATTCCTGCACCGATTAACATCCCTCACAAACTCATTCCTCCACTCCCAAAAAATTAATAATCCTAAGCATTAATTGCCGTAAAGAAATCTTAAATTCCTGACCCCTCAACTTTTGGTGAAAATCCAGTAAAACGAACAATAAAAAGTCACAGGAAAGGCCACATGGACCAATCACAGAACAGCCACAACAAATGATTAAAAGACATGAGGCAATAGATGAAAGCCATGTGGACTAATCACAGATCAGCCACACAATTTATAGAGTATATAGGTAGAAGGTAGATAGGTAGATTGATAACCAACCAACCAAGCCCCTTTTTTGGGATTAAATAGAAAGGAAAATACTTAGTTTAAGTTACTTATATCTATTATCTCAAGTTGAAATACTCCTTAAACTTTGTATTCTTTTTAAGGATTAAGTTGACATACTAAAGGCCACTTGCTTGGGAGTACACTAATGGAGAAGAAAATTTGCACTTCTTAACAAGTTGAAGGAAAAACAATTGACCTTAGAATTCACTAAAAAATAAAATTTGTCATTAGTCGGAAGTACAACTTCATGGATAAGTAAAGAAGTAACATGGTGCGTAAAATTTAATTAAGTTTTATTTTCAAATATTTTAAGATATTTTTAATTATTTATTTTAAAAAATTGATTTCCTAGGAGAAAAGAAACAAACAAATTATTTATGAACTTCCTGATAAGTTGATTTCTCGGAAAGTACCCTTTCAAATAAGTTATTTCTCAAAAAAATAACATAAGTTGAACCGAAGGACTTCTAAATCAATTGAAGCAGCCGTTCGAAAGTGATGACAGTGGTTGGATCGAAACTCGAAAGTGATAATATTAATATGTTTTACATTTATATATTAAAAGATCTTATACATAAATAACAAAATTATCACAACGAAATTTATAATAGGATTTAGGTTAATCTATAATGCTTTTTGAAATTTAATAGTAAAAAGTTAATAGTAATCTATAATGCTTTTTGAAATTTCAGATTAATTGATAGGCTTTTTTCAAGTTTAACTGAGGGATCCAAGCCTTGACTTTTTTAGCATTCTCATGCATATTAGGATTTAGGTACGTACACAAGACTCTATATAAAAATTTTATAATGCTGGCAAATTTGAGAATGATAATCATAACCCCCATGTGGCTTTCCCATTGCCTTGGTGAAAGGGGAGGAAAAGTTGGAAAAATAAATGAGAAGTGAAATTCCACAACAACCCAACAGAGTCGTAATTATTGATGTTCTCGGCCCCATGATTTCAATTATACCTTTAAAGATGTGAGAATGCTTTTCATTTTTAAAATGCTTTCTTTCTTTTATTCTATGGCCCTCTAAAAAAGGGAATTTATAGTACCCGCCATTCCAATTTCTATTAGTCACTTGTATAAGTTATTTGGAGAGTTATTAACGATATATAAGTTATTTGGAGTGTTATGAAGGATGGTCTTCTAATTTTACTCTGGCCTGTTTAATTTTTACTGGAAAGAAAGAGGAGATAGAGGAGAGAATGGTTTGTAAATGTAGAGAAAGAATCTTGTTTTAATGAGGTCAAATTTAAATTTTTTTGCCTATTTAATGACTTAATTGTTATTTCTTAATATGTGAGAACGAATTATAAGTGATTCATAATAAAAACCGGACTGGTATTCAATAAATCTTAATTAAACAGGGCCGATCTGGACTCTGGAGGATTCCATTATTAAGAGCATCACCCTAATTCCTTTATCTCTTTATTTAATAAAAAGATTATTTTACATTTATTTTTAGTTTTCAGATAAAATATATGTTCTAATTAAAGTTTTTTTAATGGCATACCAAACACTGCATGGTCATCATTTCATTATACTACCTGCGGTGTTTAAGAGTTAATTAACTAATTTGAATAAATTAAGAAAGTTTGGTAAATTAGTTATTTGTAATAAATAAGTGTTATTTTTCTAAAATAATATTGCTAATCATATGTATTAACTATAACTATTATTTGATAGAATATTCAACATGTTCAACTATTACAAGGATTACTTTAGAAAAATAGAAAAAACCGATAAATAAAATTGATTGGAATCTTATATTTTAAACTAAATTAAAAGCCAAATTAACTCTTATATTAAAGATCTAAGTTAGTATTATATTACCTGTTATTAAGTTATAATAAATTTGCTCTGATTCTTTGAACAAACCACACTAAAGCAAACCAATACATAGTGGGTTTGATGATGATCCATTAGAAAATGAAAAAGCCGATGACTGGACGTTCAGCTTTTCTTGCAATAAAGAAATGACAAAAGAAAAGCTATGCTCGTCTTAGCACTACGTTCCAATAGCCTGTATTTAGTTATTTACGGTCATCACAGACTTCATTATATATGATATAAAGGTTAATTATATCTCTAGGAAATATTATTGTGAGATTTTTAAGAAAACATGCAATCATTGAAAAGTATTATAACAAATGAACAACATGGATGTGCTATTTTTGTATTGGAAGCTATTACTGCATGTTGCTCACTTGTTACGAGATTTTTCTATAATAATTACATTCTTTTCTTAGTATTTAATACTGATTTCCCCTTACTTTTATGTCTTGTCAGCTTTTAATATTTTTTATATGTTTTTATTCGTAAAATGAACTAGGCCATCATTTCACAGTGTTGGTTCATTTGAAATAGTCACGCGCTCATATGGATTAAACATTAAAGAAATGATTAGATAGACGAAAGTATAATAAATATAATGATATTTTACTAAAGTGCTCGTAATTTATATAAAAAATAGTAAAATAGGGAGAGAATATAATAAGTAGACAAAGAGATGAAGGGAAACTTAAAAAAAATACTAGCACTAATTAATAATGTATTTAAATTTTAAATAATAGACAAAAAAACGGTGATGGTTTTTAATGTAAAGTGGTATTTCTAGCTTGGATATAAAATTAATCAAAATACCACACAGTATAAAAAATTCATTTTGATCGTAAATATAAGATCTCAATCTATTTTATCTAGTAAATTTATAATTTTCTCCCTCAAGTAATTTTTAAAGTGATTGCACATGTTAAGAAGTTTTACAATAGTTATTTATTATAAATAAATTATTTAATTAATTTTTTAATATTTATAAATTAAATATATAATTCTTATATTAACAATCAAGAAGCTAATTCTCATTAAAAGTATGATGGGAGGGACAACGGGGCGGGCCCTGATCAAGTGGGCTTGGGTTTAGTTGGGGATTGTTGACTGACTTGGGACAAGTCTGGCGGCCATACATTTAAAAATGCGAGAATGCTTTCTTTTGTTTATTCCATGGTGCACTAAAAATTTAAAATATAAAACATACATTTAGCTTTTTTAAGGAAAAATTGCAAATAAAAATGGTAAAATTAGAAAAATTATAAATTGGGACCCATGATAGTATTAGTATAGGTTTTGATAATAATAGTATGGGTTTTGACAATAATTTTTGTGCATAAATCCCTTTGTGTAATTTTTCTAATTTCATGGTCTTTATTTGCGATTTTCCCCTTTTTTAATTTTACATAAAATTCTAATTTATTTTCTAACTTTAAATAGCATATTTTTAATCTTTTAATTCTGAAATTATTAGTCTTAAATGATGGTATTTTTATGACAATTATTATTATTTTAAAAATTAAACTTAATTCGTTAACATTTAAGATTATTTTATCATCTTCATTTATCAATTTTTTGTTAACGGTTTTAGAATTAAAAACTAAAAATATATTTTTAAAGTTAAGGGATCAAACTGAAATATTATATAGAGTTAAAGAACTAAAAATATATTTTAGCCAAATTTAAAAATGACCAAACGAGTGAAATGACAACCCAAGGTAAGGTGTAGTACCTGTCCTATAAATCTTAAATCAAACACTGCCGATCGAGAGGATTACATTATAGAGAGTTTTGTCATCCAAATATTTTTTTCTATTTATTTAATAAACAATTTTCGCTTCTGCTAAATTTGTATTTTTCTTCGTTATATAGCATGTAGAAATTATTAATTTGAGTAGCTGGATCATCATCTTAAGTATCGTCCCTATATAATAGACTGAAATCCCAAGTTACAGTCACAAAGTTCAAGCGTTGATTAATTTGTTCCCTTTACCAGCTTGTCGACCAGTCCTTGTATGGCTATGGCTGGGAAAGACACCGCTGCTCCTGGTCCCTCTTCTCCTTCAACTTCAGCCATTACAAAGTATGAAGTTTTCTTGAGTTTCAGAGGGAAAGGCGTTGGAAATCATTTTGCCTCTCACTTGTACGAGGCGTTGTACAGACAAGGAATTCACACTTTCAAGGATAACGAAGATCTTGGGAGGGGACAACTTATTCCAGATAAAGTCCGCCAAGCTATTGTGCAATCTCAGATTGCCATTGTTTTGCTCTCTAAAAGTTATTTTTCTTCCTGGCGGTGTTTGGAGGAATTGGTGACTATCATAAATTCAAGCAGAAGCAACCAGGGTCAAATAATAGTTGTTCCAGTTTTTTATGGCATAGATCCATCACACATACGACGTCAAAGAGGAAGCTTAGCGGCAGCTTTTGAGGAACATGAAGCTAGATGTTCAGTTGATACAGTTCGAAGATGGCGAGAAGCCTCAGCTAAGATTGCTGATTAGGCCGGTTGGCGTACAGGAGATAGTAGGTAAGTTTTCATTCCTCTATTTTGTATTTTTCTATTCCAACTATTTTGACACTTTTAATTATAGAATTTTGTATGTGTGTGATTTTCTATTCTGACTTTCAAATACTAACGATCATCATAACTTGGCTGACAATGAAGATGTCTATTATATTACCGGTAAAAATGAACTACTCTTACTATAAAACGCATGAAATATCTAAGAGAAGCAAGTCTTGCGGTTCTTCTGTGAAAAAAAGGGAAGGAGGGAGGACCATACAAAGGAAAATAATTTGTCATAAAAAATCTGCAAGAAATATATTAAACCCCTCTTCTATCTAAAAGTGCTTTCTGAATTCTCCAAAAAGTTATGGTTTATTAATTTCTTATGTGTGAGGTCAATGTTCACTACCTGATGTCATTGCAAGATCATGGCTCATGATAAGTGTAATTTTCATGAAAAATTGTTCCCACAGCCCGATTAAGTATCAATTTTCAAAATTTCATCTAAGTTCCGCTCATGGCACAGATTTCAAGAGTGAGAGGAAAACAAAAACAAAAACAAAAACAAGCTTTCACTAAAGTTAAATATTAGCGATGATTCTAGATTAGAAAGCCAAACTAGAATTATTGTTGCTAAATTTATTTAAAAGCGTGTAAATTTCCCACTCCCAATTCTTATTAATGATACGCCAGAAAGAACCCCAAAGCATCTCTTTATGTCAAAGAAGCTTTCTATCAATCTAGTCATAAAAAATCTCTTGCAAGATTAGTTGAATAACAATACTAAGGCCAAAGATTGTATCTCTACCACTTTGGCAAAACCATCATCTCATCCTTGCAAGTGCTAGGTTTTCAGACAACCCATTTTGTGGTCTATCCTAATTTTTTTAAAAAAATCTTTAGACTCCTTTAGAATACTTAAATCATTCCGAATTAGTGCCAAACAATGATGAAGCATGAAGAGCAAAAGTGAATAAATATAAATATCATTGAGTGGCAATAGAGAGTGGAAAAACATACACTACCGGTGCTAGTCGTCCGTAAATAAAACTAAAATATTTTGCAGATATAAGTATGAGCGCACACATGGCCTGACTGATAACAAAATTCTCACACCTCACTTTCCTTGTTTAAAATATCAGCGGCGGCAATTTCCAAACCACTTCATCTCTTTCATGTTTAATTTTAAAATTAGCAAACAATTCTAAAGTTTAATTTAGTATCTAAGATTTCTATTCATTTGGTAACCTCCTAACTTTAGGCAAAGTTTGAAAAATCATGACTAATTGGAAAAACAAAAGAGTGGTTCAAGTCTTTATTTGTAGCTCACAAACTGGTGTGGTTGCTCAACTATTCATTCCGGAAAAAACCATAAAAGGAGCATTGTTCATTAAGTCATTTTGTACTTTTCAGATTTTTGTACCTTGACAAATTCATATTTTCTAATATACACATCCAAATTTAGCAAATTTGAACTCGTTTTACATCTTGGAATGCGTACTATTGGGCCAGAATTCATGGACATCCAAGTTTATTTTCCCTGCTTTTACTTCGTTTCAAGATTATTGCCATTAGGGGGTGTTCTATTCTTTTATCACTCCATAACTTGCGTTGTTTAATTACTTAGTGCATGCATACACTTTAACGTTCTTGCATATATACCTGACCATGCATAATTAGCATGCTTAGACAGTGATTTAGATAACACCCAACATACTTCAAGTCATATACCGCTAATTACAAACATTGCCAACCCAATAACATGAAATAGTAAGCACTTTTAAACTTGATCCTTGAACTTCTTTGTCTTTGCCCTTGGAGGAACTTGGTCCTACGATGTTGCATTGTAAGGGAAGATTGAGATTTCATGGAAATCTCAACATCAATAGTCACAAACAATCACATTAACATGCTTGGTAATCAATCTGCAATCATTAATGCCATGGAATGGGAACATACCTTACATCTAACTAACTCAAATAAGAATGCATGCACAACCTCAAACAATCATGGCAAACAATCACAACATCAATGTTAGAGTTATTAGTGACTTTGCTACCTTGTTCTTTGTTTTCCTTAAGCTTTTGCTCTCTTGATCCTTGAGTTCTTGTTGGCCTCTTTTGGATATCAAAGCCAACATACCAATGTAATTCAATGCACATCAAGAACTAGCCATATTACATGCATTATGTCATTAGAAAACTAAACTTCCCGTCCAACTTAAATCCCTAACGTTGCACTTTGCATTCCTTATGCTTAAACATTACCCTAACATGCTTCTTCTTCATATTTTCTCATGTAGATTCCATTTTTAAGCTCAAAATAAGAAAATAAAAATTTTCTTCCCTTCATCTTAGCAAAACCGAAACATAGGGGGTTTAAGTACAAAATTTTCACTTTGATTTTTAACATTTTCAAATTTGCTTTCTCACTTGCACCTTACACTATTTTCATTTTAAACTCAATGAAAGTATCAAAATTATCAAATCCCCGTTATAAATTAATGCCCTGTTCAGGCAGTGGGTGTCTAAAAGGGAAGAGAAAATGAATTTTCAACATTTCAATCCATTAACCATCATAATTCAAGTCCTAATCAGTTCCTTAACCATCGTTTAATCTAAAATCAAGCTTTCCATATTTCTTGAAAATTTTGGCAGGACCACCCCTTAATTTTCTTACTTCCAAGGATTACAAAATAAGAAGAAAGCAATCCATCAACAATATCATTTACAACGTCACTTGATTCTTTGTAACCTCCTTTTTAGCAAACTCTGCGCATCAACTTCTCCACTTGCTAAAACACACCATATGTATCAAGAGAGGTTTTATAATTCAAAGATGATCTTGAATGGAAAAACTAAATGAGATGATGGATTTACAACAAAATTTTATCTTGAAAAGCTTGATTTTCTAACTTCTTTCCTTTTGCTCTTCCTCTCCCTACTCACAGCTTTCTCTTTCTTTTTTGGTCTTGGCCGATTCTTATGGTGGTTTTGAGGAAGTGATATGATTTTTAGATGGTTTTACTCTCTCACAAATAAAATATAATAATTTGGATTAGTATCATTGTTAGTCCTTATAGTTTGATCAACTTTGATTTTGGTCTATGTATAGATTCAAATAGTTGATTTTGATCTTTATAATTTCAAAATTTTTATCTAAATTTAACAAATAGTTCCAAATATTTTTAATAATTTTGGTTTTAGTCCCTATATTTAAACTCAGACTAAGTCTTCATGAAACTATAGAGATTTGAAACTGCATGGACTAACACCAAAATATTTTTGACCAAAAACTAAAACCAAAATTGTATCGAATTATAACGATCAACAATGATATTAACCCTTATTTTGGGTTAATGCCATTGTTAGCCTATATTATTATTTTAATGCCTCCTTTATGATCTAATAGCAAAACTCATCTTTCATTCCATCATAGCTTCGTATTTCGCCACCTATGATCTAATTACGTAAGATGTATGAAGGATGTAGAAAGTTTTGGTTACTGATGGATATATGAAACATAGATGGGAAGCCTACTGTTACAAGCCAGTCAATGACGGGGGAAGGGATTTGACTTATGACTTGGAGGATTTGATAATTTGAGAAAGCAAACAAAATTTGGCATGCTATTGTAGGATCAAAATTGATGAGGTTAAGGAATAAAACTTATTTAATAAGATTTTACAATTCAAGAAAATGTTTGATAAATGGAGGAAAAACACTTTAGTTCCTATTTAGAATTGTGCAAGATACAAAGGGATAAAATTTATAAGGCACACAATGAAATAGTGAGAAATAGCAGTTGAACAAAGGCTAAGTAAGAGTGAAGACTTGCATTTTTTAGAACCAGTTTGGGTCATGACCGCAAGGTCTACAGCAAAAGTGAATATCAAGAAAAAAAATGCAGCAAAATCACAGAAAATTGCTTAGTAGACATGAATATCAAGAGGTGAACAAGAATTTCCCATAAAAAATTCCTGTGCGAAGTTTTTTGCTGAATATTTGTGAAAGAAATTTCTCTTGGATATTCTCCACAAGAAAAGTTTTCTTGCAGAAATAAGAGAGATGCATTTGTTTTTGGATTTCTCTCGGTCTGTTTGAGAGAATTCATTTCTTATGTGCGCCCCAACCGGGGGACCTTAACTGGTGATATTTATGGGGTGAGAAGTCTGGAACATATGCTATTTGTTTTTCTAGTAGTCCTAGTCCACACAAAATACGTGCAAACCCAAAATTACAGCTAGTCAACTAGTAACATATGCAAATATTTGCAAAATAGAACTGATTTGAAATAAACAGATAAGCAAAATGGCATTTTGCATATACAGCTAATCATCAACAACACATTAATTATGGCATTGTATACACAAATGGCCGTCCACCTCCTCATCCCCCTCTCTATCATTAATATTTTCATCTCAATCATGACTAGATGGAGATTAAGGCGAAGGACCAGCTGGAATCATGTTTAATATTCATGCGAGCCGTAATTTGCAGCAGAAATGTGTTGATCTGTGCTAATTGAGATTTGGGTTGATTTTCTCAGACTTCCTCTTATGCTTTCAGTTGATCTCCTCTAACTTCGATTTAGTATTTGACTTGGTGATTTAATTATAGGTACTTGATTGATTGATGGTTTAGAAAAAAAATTATTAAACTGAGTAGAACTAAAACAAGAATTTATGAAGATGACCCCTTCTAGGTTTTTTTTTCCCTTTCCAGTTACTATGAAAATCAGTTTGAATGTTCACTGATTCTAGCTTTTTAGTTGTTTGGCCGATTTGCTTACGAGAGTGGGATAAATGTCACCTATAATGATACTGTAATTGTATTATGTTTTAGATCGAGCCTCCTTTTGTGATTTTACCTTCTCTGATAAATAAATGTGTCTCATTGATTGCATGTGTACTGTTTTAATTTGTCTCTTATTGATTGCAAGTGTACTGTTTTATATATGCAGTTTGAGTTGGAAATGTCAGCTTCATATATAGAC